TCGAAGACACCGAAAGAACCTCCAGAAAAGCCTTGACGACCCTCACTGAGCATCACAAATGCCATCCCGTCGCCCCGATAATTTGGATCAGAAGGTTCGATGATGAAGCGGAAAGAAGTGCTGAAGGAAATCGACGTTCGGGTAGGATCGCTCTCACTCTTTTGCAGTGGGATTTGAGTTGTAGAAAGTGCCATCCCGGCTGTCCAAAGGTAATATTCATAAGCCATGATGGCCCTATCTATCGGAGTGAGCATCAGACCTGCGGGACTCGCACTTGCGTTTCCAAAACACCATAGATTTCCCCGGTCTGTGCACTGGAAAGACGTCCCGTTCGCTCCCAGTGTGAAGTTTGCTACCACATGCTTGACAAGAGCCCGCAAGACAATGATCGATAACACACTTCGAAAGCGAATGTCTCTCATCATTCTGAGCTTGATCATCTATAAATTTTCACGCCTCAGGGACGAGATGAACACTAACTAATTCCATATTCACAGTCAAGCCCTCCGATGAAAGTTTGAGCTCGCACGTGTCTGACTCTACGTTTAGTGATCTTTTGGCTTATCAGGTTGTCATGCTGGTTGTTATAAATTTTTCTCCGTTAAAGTCAAAATTAGTATAATATAATAAGTTTTTTTACATGTGGGCTTCTACATGATAGACATAGTAACCTTTCAAAGTACATAATGATGTAGTTTGGAAGCTTATACGGGTCATGGTTTACCTGCCGTGTTCTACATTTCATCTGTGACTTTCTGGTTAGAGTCTGACTTAGTGTGCCCGTAGCAATAAAATATGCAATGGAATCCAGCCTCGTTAGGAAACATGCGGCCATCGAGATTTCCTCTATGAAGTGTTGGGGAATGATTCATATCACTTCGACCTCTAATCGGAGTCAAAGCGCAGTGCACGCATGCGACACTTGACCACCTTGCGAAGCACATCGAGTTGATCATCAAGAAAAGGATCTGATAAAGATTTCTGAGAGGTCTTCATCCCACGGGTTGACCTTTTGAATGACCCGCATCTCATGACCAAATTACAAGCGTTGATTCCGTATAATGTCGAACATGTTGAGGGGTCGAGAATAAAGGAGAGGTCTGATTCAGTAGCAGGCCGTTTTCTGTAGCCCGTCCCCTTCCACCATGAGACCGTCCATTGGTCAGTTGTAGTGTTCTGCAAGGTTCCGAGTCATGTAGCAGAGTGATTTAAAGTTTGGAAAATCTGGAGCCTTGAAGTCGCACGCAGATTTCATTATCAGTCAATGTCGAAGCTGAGCTTCCAGAATCACACACACTCGATGTGGGATCAAAATCGGGACATTGGAATAATCAGTGGAAGAATGGATAGTGAAGTATTAGGAAAGTGTTCATTTGACTTCTTTACTCTTGAGGAGAAGAGAAGAGTAGAGAAACTCTCAGCTCCTCATGTAATTCAAATAATTATAATATAAACAATGAAAAAATATCTCACTTTTATAATATATTTTATTTATAATAAATTGATATGATAAATATACCCAATAAAAACATGAATTGTAATAACCCACCAAAGGTTAAAACTGCAGTATAACAGCAAAAAGATAGAACCCACAAGGATAGAGGCAACACACAGAGTACAAAGTGTCACGTTGATCAGACTATTGAAGAATTTGAATTCTCAGGCGACTGTCACTCCCAGAACTATTGCAAGTGCTCAACTCGGAGGTCACTTGGAGTACGCACAGTGCAGCGTAGTTCACCCCAACACACACCTGAACTATAGAAACACAACTCATAGGTCGGTTAGGACCTCTACTTAAGATTTCAAGGGGAAAGTTTCTCATGAGTACATTTAGAGGCTTTGCAGGTAGTGACTCCCAACTCCGGCCTTTACAACCCTTCCACTAGTTTCTACTAGCACAGGGCACCCAGTTTGGACTTCCTACTTCGGATGCGGTATCTTTGTCAAACCGAAGTCACTCACACGCGGTGAACAACACACTCAACTCACAAAACGCGCGGAGAATACAGGTCCGAACTAAGAAACTCAACTGAGAAAAGATCCAGTGGCACACCATAACAGTCTATTGACGAGTTTGAATTCTCAAGCACTAGTCATTCCCAGAAATACTACAGAGGTTTGCCCCGAGGGTGCCTTCTGCAGACAGAAGTTTGCCCTAAGGGTGCCTTCCGCAGCGTAACCTGAATTACAACCAAGGCTTACTCGAAGTAACAAAACTTCACTTTGGCATTCAGGGGAAACATCCCGAAGGAGTACAAACAAGAACTATCACCCGAAGATGTAAGGACGAACTGCTCAAGTATCTAACCAGCTACTAGCTCTGAGCATTCAGCAATCACCCGCAGGTGTAGATCCAAACTGCTCAAGTATTTAACCAGTTAACTAGTTCAGAGTTAGTTAAACTCCGAAGGCCCCCCATCAGTAATTTCCGACACTCATAACTCAGTGACCTCTCATCCGTTTCACAAGTTCTTGAGCTCGTTAGAACCACCGCGTTGGGCTCTTTCCAACGAGACCCGAAGCAACTCAAGGAGTTACGAATTGAGAAAGTTATGAGTGATCTACCGCCGAAGGTGCTCGAAGCGGATCCTGCAGCATGAACCGCCCGTTCCGTCCCAAGCGTCCCACTGTGGCCTAAGCCCAAAACCCCTTGACTGTCCTCGTTCCTCTTTTTACTCTGGTTTCGCGTACCGATTACTATTTACAGCTGCTGCCGCGGTACTTACTATTCAAAAATGTTTTAGTTCCGACAAAAAACAAAAAGTGGGTTACCACACTGGCTCGAAGGCCCTGGCGCCGAAGGCGCAAATCCCGGCGCTCTCCCCGCCGGAGGGCCCTGTCCCGAAGGCCCTTGAGCCGAAGGCGGATCTTCCGCCGGCTCCTTCCCCTTCATGCGTTGTACCGGGGGTGAGTCCTGCCTATGCGTAGGCGGCCGCCTATGCGTAGGCAAACTTTCTCTGCCTATGCGTAGGCACAGATCTACGTCCGCAAGGGGTCGCCTATCCACAAGGAGTCGCCTATGCGTAGGCGGCACACTTGTCCGCGCCACACATGGTAACTCATGACCCGAAGGCCGTCTCTCTTCCGCCTAAGGCGTAGTGTGGTCTACCGCCCCTTCGGCCGTCCGCGTAGTCCCATCCTTCTCCAGGGACGAACTTCCCTTCTCTATGGCGATCGTCGCCGTTTCCGCGCTGCTGGTCGGTAACAAAAGCCTGCGCGCCTTTTGCTTTGGCCGGCTTCAGACTTCGTGTAGTGGTCGCTTCCGTGTGAGAGCAGCGGGTTCTCGATGTTGCTCTTTCTTCGGTTGCTCTCTCCATCTTCGCTTCCGCGGCACTCTCGCTGTGGGTGTGTCTCTCCCCGCATCCTGTTGAGTCGGTGGAGTGGAAGTTGGCGAATCCTCCGCGTTGGTGTCTACCTCGTTATCCCGCACATACCTCCTGGGATGGTCGACTGACAATGGCAAAAATCGAGCACGCTCGGCCGCGGTTAAACAATTCATTGACCGATAAAAGTTTATCAAGAAGGGGGAGAGGTGATTGAGAGTTCCTCCCCGCTCCTCAAACGCATGCTGTCGCATCACCCTATGTAGGATACGCGACCAGTGAACTGGAGCTCCGGCCAAGCTGAGCTCCACGAAGGACACCTGCCACAACGTGATGTACGTAGTGCGGTGCGGCTGCAACAATTGCAGCAGCGCCATCGCTAGGCTCCTCCGGAAACGATCTTTGTAGTCGCGGGTCCTGTACCCGTTCTTGGAAGACCTCTCTCGCTTGAATAATTCCACGAAGGAGGCTTCGTCCTGCTTCGTCACCTTGACGCTCTCACTCTCGAACAGGAGGTACTCGTCCTCTCCTGTGCACCTTCCCAATGCCTGTCCCCAATCGCGGACAGTCCATCTATCTACGTGCGGACGTAATCCGCGCGTAGGTGGTCGCTCCTCGTCCAGCCATTCGCACACCATGTCTACGCACACGTAATTCCATCCCCACAGCAAGAACTCGAGTTTCCTTGCAATCAGCCATTCCTCAAAGGCACGCAACCCGTTCTGCGGGAGCTTGAGTGGCACCATCCGCAGCCTCATCGATTTCGACATTGCGTTCTTGAAATTGGTTTGCGCAACTCTCTCTCTGCTCGGCACGAGCTTCTTGCTTGTGATTCTGTCTCCTCTGCAAACTCTAATCTCTCTCAATTCCAAATGTCGCGCACTCAATTCTCTCTCAACCACCGAGTAACTCTCCGCGCGGTGATGTCTATAACGTCTCTCAGCTAGGAGGTGGACGCGCGCAGCTCGCACCAAAAATTGAAATCGCAAATTCAAGAATGGGGCGTCCTCTGTCCGCTCGTAGGAGGTCATGGTCGGCTCTCGGTCGTGAAGGTCGAATCACTTGATGGCCGCTCCGGCTCCGCGGTATAATGGCCTTCTCTCTCACGCGCGGCTTCACGCTCCGCCGACGCCGACTTCACTCACACGCTCGAATTGGTAATTTGAACTCCGCCAGCGTATCACGCCGCGGCCATGGCCGCGCAGCGGCGAAGGCGGATTTCTCGCCGACGCGCTACACTCCTTCGTACTTCAATTTGGCTAGTCCCGCTCTGCCGAAGGCGTTCCTCCGCGTATAGGACAAAAGTTGAATTCCCTTCTGCGTAGGCGGAATTCCCGGCGGAGTTTCCGCCGGCGCAGAACTTCATCTGCCTGTGCGTAGGCGCTCGCCTATGCGAGCGAATTCCGTCCGCACACAAGACGTTCGTCCGCGCAGGTCCCTCGCCATAGGCGCAGTGCCAAAGGCGGCTGTGCCGAAGGTGTGAGCTCTTAACTCCCACCCTTAGCGTTGTAGTCCGGATGGGGATCCAAGCTAACATATCTAGCTACCCTAGTCACCACTCCTCTCCATTCTTTTACCAACTCCAACGGTCGAGACTTCAACTGTCGAGGGTTTTCTGAACCCACTCACTACTCACTATCGAGAGCAGCTCCTCTCCAACGCTCTGAATCTACACCCACCAACTATCGAGAGCAGCTCCTCTCCAACACTCTGAATCCACACCCACCAACTATCGAGAGCAGCTCTTCTCCAACACTCTGAATCCACACTCACCAACTATCGAGAGCAGCTCCTCTCCAACACTCTGAATGTTAAAACTGCCGGCGAACACAACCACGAGAGTGCCTTACAAGCAAAAGGAGTCGCACGCCACGGTACCCGGAAATCCAGGGGGTTACGAACAAAGTAACACCTGTCATCCTATTCCGCTTCACTATCCTATCCACTTGCCTAACCTTATCCACCTGCACATCCTGCGCACCTGCAACTCCATCTAGTCCAATCTCCAGCCGCCGATGGTCCGGGAACCCTAATCCATTGCCAACAATACTCCCCGTAGCAGCTTGGAATGTACCTCTATGCCATCTTCCTCGTACTCCCCTCCTGCAGAGAATGGATATTGAGCTATTAAGAACTACTTCGTCCTTCTCCTCTCCAGGTGAAGAAACGTGTTGACGATGATCCCGTGTCGTCCTCCTACTCTCCACATCGTGGATGTGGAGCTCAGAGTTCTCCTCCCTCATTCTCGCCTCCATGTGGAAGCGCATATGTAGTACATATCCATCATCGTCCTTGTACTTTTCGTCTGGTGGAAATGAAGTTTCGAGTTCTCCTCTTCCGTCACTACCTCTGTCACCTCCATCTTTTGAGTGTGACTTGTTGTTATTCGGTGAAGAACCTGATCTGCTCTCGTCAGCTTTGCATCTCTAGAATCCCAATGTGCAATTTCCTCCTTTTCAAAGGGCCTCTCGCGCTCGGACGTTAGTGTTCTCCAAAGACTTTGACCCCTACGGTAGCTTCCTAAATTTTTACCACGTCCAGAACTTGAACCGGAATAATGATTATAGTTTTTTATCATGTCAATACTTTTTCTGATGGAATTGCTTCCAAACCCAACGAGACCACTTAATACAGATTTCCTCTCTTCTTTGCTTGTATCAGCAGATCGTCTTGAAACTGCCACCTTACCCTTTCCAATGCCCTCCCGTCTAATCCTCCGATCTCCAATCTTATCCAAACCTCAATCTGTCAAAAACTCAAAATCCAACACCCAGCACTGAGTTCGAACTGAGGCAGCCACACAGCAGCCACTTTATGGTTGCCTCCACCACAATCAGGTCGGGCCTATTCCGTTCTATTAATACTGCCTGCATTCCGCCAATGTTCAAACTCACAACCCACCAAGAATCAGGGTCGTAGGTTACTTCATGTCAGTTACAAGGATGAGAGTACGTCTCATTTCAGTTGGCCAAAATATTGCAAGCATTGAGCACAATCCCTCTCTTGAAGGACAGAAGATGTATTCCATCGCTAGAAAAGAGCTAGTCCGAGATCGAGCAGTTCTGCCAGAAATACAAGGTAGACTAAGTAGCAGGATGAACTCTTCTGCATCGCTGTTGATCCTAGTCTTACAATCCTTGTTTCTCCCACCACTCTATTTGTTGCACAAATTAATTCCTCTCGTGACGCTTCGACTGAGCCTTTGAATGGTGCAGACTCCGTGGCAGCATAAGGATCAGAAACAAGAAAATAAAATGCATAAGGCAAGCCTGCAAATCAAAAACGTAACCGCACCCGCCTTCCACCACCGCGTTACTCTCAGCAGCTCGTGATGCTAGGAGACGAGAAGTACGACACCCCCTTGCCATGAGGAGATCAGCTAGAAGTGAAGGAAAACACGTGACGGAGATAGTGACAACTTTACACTAATCTTTTCCAGCTACATATCATCTTCTTCCTCGACACCCGCTCGCCGCCCACTGGTTCTGTCCCTCAGCTTCTGATTTTGCAGCATCTCCAACAACTACCTTTATTTACTCTCTCCTTCTCTCTCGCCACGCAGACACACTCACTTCCTTCCACCTTAAACTTTGCCACCTAGTCTCCTAAACCCGCTTCAACAAGGCTCCGCCGAGGTCATTCACTACTCCGTTACCAACCTATCACACCTTCCCTCTTCAAACCACGATCTCCTCCACCGCTTGTCACGTCACCGCAACTCCAACAAACTCCACTGCCACCTCCTAAGTAAGGACCAATGTAGCCACTGGCACCTCCGTGAGTTTTGATCTATAATAAGATGCACGTCTTGCACCTATCTAGCTCTGGAGAAAAACTCGTGGACATCTCGTTCGTCGGCCTTCAGACAGATCTGATAAATGAAGACAGTTTGCTGATCATGTTCTGGATCCACTTCTGATTCAGCCAAAGCAAGATCTTCTTTCCTGTTCTTAACCTCCCTAGACCTACGGTGCTCTCACTTGCGATCCCTTCCCTTCTGCATGTGTGCCTCTCTTTCTTTCTACTGTTTCCAATCTTTTTTCTTATTGCGATGGCGATCAACCCGTTTGCTCTTGGCTTGTGACCTTTCGCGTTTTCTGCACCTGTACTTCTCCCCGTCTATGTCTTTATCACAACTCGCTTCCTATCTCATTCCTTCTAGCCTCTTTCTTTCTTCTTGTCGCTTTCTTTACTGCTCACCCTCTCTTCTCTTCTTTCGCACATCGTCTTTGCTCTTCACTAGTATCCACGGTTTACTTTCCTCCCACTCTTCAAGAGTCTCGGTGATTGTCTTAAGATAAATCCGTGCCTCGGAAACTGCAGCGGCATTAGCAATGAGCTCGTCTAACCTGGAGAACATGGCATCGCCACTTTTCTTGGGACCATCCAGCTTTTTCTTGAACTCTGCAGCTGTGGCATCCTCACCATTTGTGTACAGCCAATCTTCTGCCTCATTAAGCTCAGCCCGTGGACTATCCCGCTGCTCCTCCGTAGAAACTGTTCCAATACCTTCCAATGATTCAAACTTGTCCTTGGTAGCATATGCTTCCAAACTGTTCTTGGCCTATGATGTCTTTCTTTTCTCTGCATCCTTTAGATGAAGTTTTTCCATACGAGTTACAACCTACTTTATATCCTTCTCCGAGAGGCGCATATTCGATCCCCTACTAAAATCCTTGATCTCCAACGGAATTCTAATAGTTCTTCTGCGCAGTTTCTTCTTCACTACGAGTTCGGCAACAAGACTATCCTTGGATTGCTCGCCTTCACTCAATACATTACTCACGTCGCAACCTTCAGGTGAGTTATCATCCTGCGTTTGATTTCACTTCTTCACTTGACCTCCTCATCCTTCACTTCTTCTATTCGGCCTCCCTTCCTCTCCTTCTTGTCAACCGGCCGAATGAACTCCTCATATGCTAAATTCTGTCCTCGTTCCGAGAGGCCGGTCGGTCATTCATTCATCCTTTCACGGACCGATCACAAACACCAGCAATTGCACCTACACCAACAAAACCGCAGCTGCTGCCAAACACACACCTTCATCAACCTTCACGCCCACCTCCGACAGCAGTAGGAGCAGCGCGCCTCCGTCCTCTCACACGGCTCGATGGACAATAGGAAGAAGAAGCAAACGGCAGTGTCCAAGCCCAAGCAATTCGACTCCACACAATCTTCCCTCCCTCACTCCTCCACTCCGCTCGATTCAAGAAACCTGATCTCCTTTCTGCCCGCCCTCTCACACTTGGTTATTGATTCTTGGCACATATTCAATCCGTAATCCCGACCGACCGAAGGCGCACTCGTCCGTTCTGTCCGTACAGTCGGTACGGTCCGTACGGATTTTACTACTCCGTTGGTCCTCGCCCATCCGTGATGCACTGGCGCTGAAGGCGCCGTACAAGTTCCAATCCCGAAGGCGGATTTCTAGGGCCGAAGGCGGACTTCCCGCCGACGCCGAAGCGCCAATGCGTAGGCGATTTCCGTCCTCCTATGCGTAGGTGCAAGTCCTCCCGCCTATGCGTAGGCGGCATTCTCGGCGGACACCCCGCCGACGTCAAACCCTATTTCGCCTATGTGTAGGCGAACTTCCCTTGCTTATGCGTAGGCGAAGATCTTCGTATCTTTTGACCGTCGCAACTCACTAAGTCTTGATCCGTTCCAGGCGTTCTTGAGCTCATTAGAACCAGCGCGTCAAGCTCTTTCCAACGAAACCCTAACCAAGTCGAGGCGTTTGGGAATTGATTAGATTCTGAGGGATTTCTCTAGCGCCGAAGGCGGCTTAGGCGCCTTGCGCCGAAGGGGTACTCCTTCAGAGCCCGTCGTTTACGACGGCGTCTGTCCCAGACGTTGCGCCCAACTCTTGGATTCTACGAGATTCTTTGAGATTCTCCGAGATCATCCAGTTTCACTCTATTTTGATGCACTGATGGCTATTTACACTGCTTCCGCGGTACAATTTTCCAAAAATGTTTTAAATTCCGCAAAAATACCAAAAGTGGGGTACCACACATTTACCCCCGGACCAAGATTTCACTACTGTAATAACCCACTAAAGGCTAAAACTGCAATATAGTGGTAGAAAGGTCGAACTTACAGGGACAGAGGAACACACAGGGTACAAAGTGTCACGTTTAACAGACTATTGAGGAGTTTGAATTCTCAGGCGACTGTCACTCCCAGAAATACTGCAAGTGTCCACTCGGAGCGCACTCGGAGGTCGCACAGTGCAGCGTAACATACACACACACACACCTGAAACTACAGAAACACAACCCAGAGATCCGTTAGGACCTCTACTCAAGATTTCAGGGGGAAAGTCTCTCAAGAGTACACTCAGCGAAGCTGCGGGTAGTGACTTCCAACTCCGGCTTTTACAACACTTCCACTAGCTAGCTGCTAGCGTAGGAAACCCGGTTTGGACTACCTACATCGGATCGAAGTCACTCATACGCGGTGAACAACACTCTCAACTCACAAAACGTGCAGAGAACACAGGTCCGCACAGAAGGACTCATTGAGAAACATTCCAGTAACACAATAACAGTCTATTGAAGAGTTTGAATTCTCATTCCCATAAATACTACAGGGGTTACCTCCAGGCACCTGCTGCAGCGTAACCTGAATTTACAACCAAGGCTTACACGAAGTAGCAAAACTTCACTTTGGCATTCAGGGGAAAAATCCCGAAGGAGTACAATCAGGAACAAACACTCGAAGGTGTAGGGGCGAAACTATTCAAGTATCTAACTAGTCACTGGCTCTGAGCATCGGCAATCACCTGCAGGTGTAGATCCAAACTACTCAAGTCTCTAACCAATGTACTAGCTCTTAACATTTGGCCGAAGGCCTTCAGCTACAAAATGCAGAATGCCAAGTGGTAGCTCCTCTTGCGTGGTGACAGAACTAAGGACACAAACACGCAGAGAAAATGAGTTCCTGATGTGTACTTCCGAAATTGGGAAAGAACCCAAGGCAGGACGCCTTGAACTACTTTATACCTTCTAAGTCCTAACTAGCACAACACTGCACTACGCTACACGCCTGCACGGAACCACGCTACACTACACTCCGCGGAACCTGTGCTACGTCTCCTGCGCGACGGACTGCCGCGCACTAACTTTCTACCCTGCCAGTCTTCCGCTCGACTGCGCAGTCCTAACCGCTGCAACGCCGCGGACACCTCCACCTCGAGGATGGACATGGTATCCCGCGCCTTCAACAGAAAAAGCGTCTAACTTCTTCGCCACCTTCCGCCGACTTCTGCTGTCACCTGTCAACAACCCTGCTGCGCGAAGCTCTAACTCACGCAGTGTGAGTTTCTCCTGCACCGCCACTTCCCAGTGGGCGTAGCCCTTGAGACAGTGGGCGACACGCCTCGCCATCTCCTCCTTCGTGCGATCTGCCTCTCGCCTGCGATCATCTTCAATTACCACCAACTGCGATTCGGCTTCCGCACGCTGCGCTCTCAATTCCCCGCACTCCGATTGTAGCCTGCGGATTAAATCCTCATCCGCCTGTCGTGCGAGCTGACACTCCGCCAACAACTGCGTCTGTCGCACGAGCTCCTCTGACAGAATCTGATTCTGAGTTTTCTCAGAAATCAAATCTGTCGTGGTCTTCACCACATCCTTGGTGAGCTCTTCCAGTCTCTCCTTCTTCATCCTGTCGAGGGCG